GCGGTGCTGGCGCTGAGATTCAAAAATTATTTAAAAATAGTTCAAGGCCGGCACCCGCGGCGGGACCAACCTAAAGCGTTGGAACTATTGTAGAACTACTAAAAGAAACCCAGAAGTCGGCTGGAACTGCCAGCAGACATATACTTTACTCTTGTGATGCGGTGCTGGCGCTGAGATTCAAAAATTATTTAAAAATAGTTAATGGCCGGCACCCACAGCGGGGCCAACCTAAAGCGTTGGAACTATTGTAGAACTATTAAAAGAAAACCAGAAGTCGGCTGGAACTGCCAGCAGACACATACTTTACTCCTGTGATGCGGTGCTGGCGCTGAGATTCAAAAATTATTTAAAAATAGTTAAAGGCCGGCACCCTCTGCGGGACTAACCTAAAGCGTTGGAACTATTGTAGAACTACTAAAAGAAACCCAGAAGTCGGCTGGAACTGCCAGCAGACACATACTTTACTCCTGTGATGCGGTGCTGTCGCTGAGTTTCAAAAATTATTTAAAATTGGTTAGAAGCCAGAACTATTCCTAAAACATATCAGGAACTATAGAACTATTCTAGAACTATAAAATTTCGTGCTTGAAATTGGTTTTTTTGGAAGTTGCGGTGCTACGGGAAGTTAGCACCTCATATTTTCAAACTGCCTTTTTGTTAACTAATTCGACAGAACTATTGTTATAACATATCAGGAACTGTAGAACTATTGTGGGTGCCAATGGAACTATCGCTAAAACTTGCGGTGCTACAAAATGAGGTGCCAACTTCACACCGGCCCTACGCTTCTTGTGTGAGAGTTATTCGACTATATGAATGAGATTTTAGTCAAATACTACGGTTAAGTGTTTCTCAATCGGATAGGATCAGAATCAGGCGAAAGGAGGGATCTCTATCCGGTAAGAGCTTCCAGTATTGTTCTCTAAAACTAGATAAAATGATATACCTCTGTGATACCGCGAACCAACGGTTTTGTAATTACATTTTAATAAAGAGTTCGGTTCTTCTAACGGAAGCCTCGCGCACTCTGTCATCTACGCCGTCACGCTCGCGACTTGTTCGGCTGACAGACGCGCTCCTATACGTGCATTTTGAATTTCAGGTTCAGTCGAATTTCGGTGGATTGTTGAGATAATCGGGCAATCCTGTGTGCATTGGCTGCACGATCGAAAAGTCCACTTTCGATTTCTGACATCCATCTTCAGATCTAATCGTAATTATGAATTTATCTATAACTATATAAATTTATAATTTTTAAATCTATGATTCTAAAAATGTATGATTTTCCATCAAAGGTCGACGACTCAAAAGATATCTGAAAGTAACTGAAAATAAAACTATTTAAACGTTCGAAATCTCAAGAATTGGTAATTTTAAATGTCATGTTTCTCTCGTAGAAAACTGTCGTCGAAGAAATCCAAAGCCAAACTTGACTTACCCAATATTACAAGCTCACGATTGATGGATTTCTCCAAGTGTACGTTTGACGGGAAATGTCCGATTGCTTATCGGGCACATTCAGGCGGCACGTGGTTCTCGCGTCATTCTCAGTTCCGGAGAAGACACTCCCATCGCTGTTGCTTGCGTCCTTCGTGCCGCAAAACCTCCCGCCACTCGTGATACTTTTACCGCGCTGTGCGCAAACTGCGCGAGTGCGCAAACTGTTGTACCTCTTTTAAAAAAGATTTTAATTACTTGGTGATATTGTTGTGCAATTTTGATTACGTCACATTACGCACTGATGCTTTATTTTTTGCAGCTTTTGTTAGGTTTGTCGTGTTGCTTCAACTTTTCGTACTTTTTATATCTAAAACATGACAGAAGCATATTCAAATGTTGAAGGAAGCAAGAAGAGATGAGAAATGTTCAAGCAACGCAACAGACTTATTATCGTAACGATTATATTTATACAATATTTCTATGTCGTTAGTAACTTGTATCGCATTAGTAATCGAAATATAGTATGGTTTAAACGTCTGCGTTATCTTCATCGTTTAATTAAAACAATCGGTATTGTCATCGTTCTTCAATTATTGCCATGTTGAACAACTCAGTTGTGTAAAATGTTTCGATTTGCCAAATTCATATAAAATGTTTCATTTTTCACAAATTGAACAGAAGTCTTTCATTTTCCATTAGTTCACGCTAGGGAAAAGATTTATGATCGCTGTCCTGAGCAGCTGCAACGTTTCTCCAATTACCTATGTCGGCGCGCTCCTACTCCTCAGATTTCTATCATTAATAACTCGATAATTATTGTGAATTTCGCAAAACGGTATAGGACTTTTATGTTTGTCTCAACCCAATCTACCTTCCTTCACACTTCGGGTTGGCAGCTAATTACCGGATCCTTTGTATGATCTTCATGATATTAATTATACATAATGTCAATTCTTATTTTTTTTGCACATGTTAACATGTTAATTCATGTTACAAACGCGTAACAATGTGCGAGACCGTGCTTGTCAAGAATGCTATTATGATTGTAGCACGGATATAAACCGCCTGAAAGTGGATGTAGCACGGACCGCCACCACGTGCAGATTTTACCGCCGAAACCTGAAAGTAGAAGTAGCATCGTAATTCCCCTAAAAATGGATGCAGATGGCGCCCTTTCCCAGTGCGGAAAGTCGGTGTCGCCAAAAACACCGTGTTGGCCGCTCTCACGTTCCTCTCTGCTATCAGCATACAGTGATCACTTTGCGCGCTTTACACAGAAATGACGACGTTCGATCGATGAATCGATGTTTCCTTTGCTTGAGGGTCGACTATTTTCGATGCTATTGATATTTTCAAGTTTGATTCCATTACTTATGTCTGTATAGGCTCTTAATTAGATGTTAATACATTTTATTATTACAAATTTTATTATTACTTTATTTTATTATTCAAGTTTTACTGTTCGGTAAGTAAAATTCGTTTGACTTATAGTTGACTCTTATCACGTTCTCAATTTTTCACTAAAGCAGAGAGGAAGCTGAGAGCGGCCAACACGGCGTTTTCGGCGACATCGATTTTTCGCACTGGAAATGGGCGCCATCTGCATCCACTTTGAGAGAAGATGCTACATCCACTTTTAGGTCTTGGTGGTAAAATCTGCATGTGGTGGAAGTCTGAGCTACATCCACTTTCAGGCAGTTTATGTCCGTGCTGCAACCATAGTTACTATCTCTATGCCAGACTATGCCCGAAGGTCTGAAAAGAGCGGGAAGGGGGGAGCAGGAAAAATAAAAGTACATATTAAATATTAAATCCTCTACATACATGTTGCCGTATCAAAATCTCCTGTATAATAAACAATTTGATACGTCTGGAGACGCATAATGTATCGTTGCCCGCGTCCCGTTCCCTTCTTTGTCCTGCTTCTCAATTCAGCATCCCATCCGCTCCGGACATTCGCTCGTGGCACTGACAGTGGCCGTCGGTTAGCATTCTATCCGCTCGGAGGAGCACATGTTAATTAACGCGACGAGACTCCGATTGTAAGTATCCCGCGAGTCGACGAAATATTTGAACTTTTAAAAAAAGCATCAAGGAAAATCACGTTGATGTTGTCATGGGTGAAATCTCACCCTGGTATATATTTTTTTATTTTCGAAATAAAAAAAGCCAAGCGAATGCAATTAAATGTTATTTATTATCATTGAATATTAGATGAAAAGTAGAGGAGTTATTGTCCGCAGCGGATAATCTAACATTTAATAAGAACAAGACAAAATTCGCATGAGATGAAATTTCACTCTTTAACGTTATCATGACCTTTAATTATTCTCCGAAAACGGCGTTACAACAACTTTGACATTCTGTACAATTAGTTGCTAATATATTTTTTAATTGTACACATTGCTCTTTAATTAACATACAGCTAGCAAATATCCGATGCTTCGACAGAATAATTTTCTTTATTTTCAGTAATCAATAAGTAGTAAATCAATGTCGCGTACAGTTGAAAGGCCTCCTTGCATTCCCCTCGTTGTCCCGGAACCTTCGAGAAAAAGATGCCCAAGGGCAAGTCTTTCTTGTTTCAACCGCCGCCGAGGCCCGCAATGTTTATATCGCGCCGATTGTGTTGATCGGCTCGCGAGCGACGACACTTTTTGCTCTTCGTTTGACGTTTGACGAATTTTTCGGGAAGTCGGTGTCGTTGAAAACACCCCTCTCCGCTCTCACGTTCCTCTCTGGTTTGACTTATAGACTGGTTGGTTCTTATCACGTTCTCAATTTTTCATTAAAGATAGTGACGACTTATAGCGGAAATTTTAAAATTAATAAAAATAACGGGTCATCCGTCAATGGGCCGAGTTTTAACAAAGACTTGAATCTTAATTAACCGGGATTCAACTCTCGTATTCTTTGAGTTTTTCAATAGCACCGTTAGATGGCAGTAAGTGTGCCATTCAGCCGGAATGAATCCAGCGGTCTTATTAGTTCCATTAACGCAGCTATAAGTCGCTACCATCTTTACTGTCAAATATTCCTAATCAATTAAAACTTTTATATGGATAATTGTTATCCATTTTGTGTCAAGTTATAACACTAAACATGAAATAAATAGCTATTTGTTAAATTTTCTTATTATATTATTATTAAAATGCGCTTGATGTCTCTCCACAATATTTCCCTTCAATATTGAATACTCTTATCGCTTTTTTAAGTGCTAATTCCTTTATAATAATTTTTAATCACCATTCTTGTATAATGTGAGGCAAATCATCAGCATTTCTTGGAAACTTTTAAGTGACCAATTCGATCCCCGCCGGCGCTGAGGTAACGCCGAAAGAAACGAGTCAAGGAAATTCGAACCTCTTCTTTTTCGCTGCACTTTTCGCAAAATCGAGTTTCTAAAATCCACGCATCGTGAGAAACGAATCTGAAGGTGTGTACACCTTCTTCCTTTTACATGCTCCATCCGAATAACGAGTCTGCGCGCTGCGGGAGATTTCTATTTGGCTTTTCCCGGCCCCGCCAGATACACCTATTCCCGTCAGTCACGTGGTGAGCTTTCGCGGGTACGGATCGCGTTCCCTCGCGCGGTCCCCCTTCCTGCACGATAATCAGGATAAATCCTTGGACACAACGTGAGAAAAGTCAGCGAACGAGAGAGCCAGAGCCGGGACTCATCACGGATCAGCGGACGTTTTTGAAATTACCGCCAGAGGTGGGTTGAAAAATTTTTGTCTTTTAACCTATTCCCCCGATAACCTTTCTCTTCGCCTTTTTGTACGTTCGAAAGTGCACATTTCTTCCGCGTTCGTGATTATACCCGGACTGCCTCGTGAAGGAGACACTCGCGAATCCTCGAATCTTTAATGGCACGAAGAGATTTTGGAGAGTTCACGGTTTCCACTTGCCTTTCTTCAGATTTTCTCTCTCTCTCTCTTTCTCTCTCTCTCTCTCTCTCTCTCTCTCTCTCTCTCTCTCTCTCTCTCTCGGTCTCTCTATCTATCTCTCTCTCGCTCACTCACTCACTCTCTGTCCTTTCGCTCTTCCCCTCGCGGCCATAGGCGCGCTAATTCAGCAAAAATAATAGATAGCCGCCTACAAGATAACTCGTGGCTCGACATAAGTGCATTATTATTTCGAAGGGCGAGGATATACCGCAACACGGTAGATATGGTCGATACTCTACAACAGAATAGCCATTTGGCATCTAATATCTACTTGGGAACGGTCTGCAATGTCCGATATGATACTTGGTTGCTGCATTGAATAATACAATATACATCGATACTTAGCGGACGGTGGTATTCTACCGAGGCGGGTTCATCGCGCGTTGACGTAGGAAGACGTGTCTACAAGAAAAAAAGACGCGGACTCGCCGTTGCTACGGTCTTTAGCCTTCTCGCGCGTTACTTCGAATCTCGCGCGACAGCTCCGGTCGATCTCGTTTCTTCTCACAGAATTTTTCCTCTCTTTCCCCGCGGCCGAGTTTTTTGCAGAATGACGTCGATGTTTTTGTCGTCATTAATATGTGATTTAACATGTCCATCTTTGATGCGTTAGCTTTCGTGTAAGATTTTGCTGTTTGTTTTGTGCGAAAACTCGCTTGACCACTAATGACGCTGATTTTCGCGAATCGTTCTGTGGTTTGATTTAACTTGGAGCAAGCGTTCGTTATTTTTTATAAATCTTTGTTAAAAATATATTGTTGTTGGGCAAATTTCTTAATCACTCGTGCGATATAATTTTATGTAAATATACGTGATAATATGCAAGAAAAATTATTAATGCTAAAAGAGGAGACTCATACGTTGAATAAAAATCATCGTAACGTACGACTAAATCTCAAAAGTAAATTTAAAAGCTTTTGCTTTTTTATTCTCAAACTGAAGCAAAGAATCACACGTATATAGCGCTCGTACGAACAAAACGAAACTTGGAATTGAAAGGGCCGGTGTGCATATTTGTTAATTATTTTTATTAGGCCTTTGGCAGCCGCATATTTTGTCAACTCCGCGCACGACGAGAGAGAACTGTTAATCCTGCGGCTGAAATCTCGTCAATTAGTAATTTCGATAAATGGATTTGGCTAGCTCATGTGCTCAATTAGTCACGTCCCGCGTATTAATTAATGAGGCGCGATAAACTCACCGGCGATTTTCGCGGTCGTCACAACACGCTGGTTAAAATTCCAAAGGTGCAGCCTTCTTCTCAAACTTCCCTCGCCGCGGAGGCCGCCGTGCGACGCGAAACTGCGCGAAATTAAAACGCACGGCGGAATCGGGCGAATTAAACAGAAACCTCGCGTGTTACCCGGCAAGTTCGAAACTCGCTTTGGCGGATCTGTCGCTTGCGACGGAAATCCACTTTGAAAATGAAAGGAGCGCCGTGATCTAAGATGAGACGTTCAGAATTATGCACCGAGCAAGGAAGAAGGGAGAGCAAGAGAGGAAAAACAAGATGTACAACCGCCGGGAAAAAGCCGAATTTATAATGGCCCGTATATAAATGTACGCTTACGCGACTTGCATTAATTTCCCCAAACTGGTCTTGCCAACTGCCTCGAAGACGGTGGGCTTTCCGCTCCAGTCTAGAGCATTTGAAAGCACTCGAGGGAATGATGAACGACTCGCGTACAATCCCGGAAGTGGAGTGCGCGGATTTACTCGTCTTGGAGCGCGAAACGGTAACTAGCCGGGAAGAACTTGGTCCATTTTCGCTCAATCGCGCACAGTCAATTGTCAATATACCATATTACAGACAATAACAAAAGTATTAAAAATTAAGCAATTTCTTAGATCTTCAAACTGCCATTGAAAGCAATTTTGGTCTTTCCAAAATGTCGTTCCCCCTGCTCGTTCGATATAATCTAGAGCTACCGAAAATGAAAAATATATCGCCAACATCCTCAAAAGATGTCCTCGTGTCTTCAGCAAGATACTTGGCATATCCTAGATGACAAATCTGTAAAAAAATTGCATCGAAAATATGCTTGCTACCGCCATCACCGCGTGGAGATGTCCTGGACGCAGAAATAAATCTTGCGAGAACGGGAAGGGAATAGAAAGAAGGATTTAGAAGCATTTTCAATCTTTTCTCTTTAGAAAAAAATGTTTCAGGCGAAAGTTGTGTTGTTTCAAGGGGAACATAAAACAATCTATATCAGTTTGTTTACAAATGACGCTATTTTTTAAATATTCACTCATTACTTTTCTTAAATAGAAATCCCAACTTTTTATTATACCATCTTATTCTACCAATTAATTTTAACAACTTTTGCCTGAAACATTTTTTTTACTTACCTAATATTTTTTGAGATATTTAAGGAAAACTTGGTAACTTCTTTAATATTTAACTAACGATATCTCGCTGTTTGTCCGAAGAAAAAATAGTACTAGACTTTTTTACTCTATTTGGTCTTGAGAATATATTGTTAGAATAGTGCTCTAATTTTTTTTTGTTAACTTATCGACTTTCGGAAATTTCGAAATCATCAAATTAACAAGAGTCAGGACGCTCTTGTAATAAAAAGACCATCAGTTGATTGAAAAAAAGCAAGCATAAATAGCAAAATTAATACACTCCACGCACGAAATTGATGAGGTCCTAACACCGACCGACAGATGTTCCAACCGATCAGACGTTTCAGCCAGATATTGCTCTTATGCAGTTTTAATTCTGTCTCCATGCTGTATAACTTGACGTACAGCTCATCTCTGTACGCGGATGATCTAAATCTATACGGGCGAAGTTCTTTTGAAAGTCTAAAGTTCTTCGCAACGAAGTAAACCTCACAGCGTGGCTTTTGCTCGGTCTTGTCTCAATCGCCGAGCTTCGTCTTCAGGATATTCCCGAAATATCCCCTCCTCCCGCGTTTCACAGCGCTGTCAGTTCGTCTTTCAATTAGCGACTTTTAAAGTATCCTCTTAAATGTTTGTCATAATTTGCACATAATGTGAGCCTCGATAAAATTGAATAGTAGCAATAAAAACAAGTCTACCAGCGTGGAAGTCTCGCGGTACTTTGGAATGAGCGACGGGCGAACGAGCATTTCCGACGAAATGATCACGTGCGCGATGACTAATTAACGAGTTCTCAGCCGGGAGGGTATTATCTTTTCTCGAGCCGCGCATGCCGCGGAAGATTATGAGATATGATAACGTTTCGGCAATCTCCGTCACGTCATGCAAAAACGCGCGTCTGCTGGCGTTAAATGAGCGCTCTATTATTTGGAGCCGCGTCCTATCTCAAGATTTGCCCGTGGCTGCATCGCGCTCGCACTCCACCTTGCGTTATCTTACGATGAACGTAATTAGTAATTTGTTCTCTGCAGCGCAATATTGTCGGACGATAAGCATTGTATGATTGCGCGAAATGCAACGTTTAAAATGTCAGCTCTCATGCGGACCCAGTATTGGATACGCCAGTATTGGATTGGAACAAGAGAGAGAAAGAAAGGGAGGGGAGGGGAGGGGGGGGGAAAGAATAAAAAAAGATACGAAGCGTAAATGCGCGGGTTTTGTGTCGATATAATTTTTCGACGCGCGGCGGCGAGAGACGCGTCAGGATATCGAAATACGCGATCGCTTTTCCGCACAAGTCAAATGACATCAGGTTTAATTTAACGCGAGTGAATAAACGAACAAACGAACAAACGAACAAACGAGCGAGCGAACGGACGAACGGCGAATCGTTTGCATACCGACCCTTTCCTTGCTTTCCCCAACATTGGATGGATTCGCGTTTGGGCGAACGAAAACTCTCTCTCTCTCTCTCTCTTTCTCTCTCTCTCTCTCTCTCTCTCTCTCTCTCTCTCTCTCCTTTTTCTCTTTCTCCCTTTGTGAATGTAGCATGTGCATAACGTCAAGTTCGTATCTGTCATACAACGTGTTTGCGAGCACATTCGTCAAAGGATGAATTTCCTATTTTCCCTCGGCCATTCGCGCACGGGCGAACAGCTCTTTGAACTCTTCCTTTCGGATGCATGCAATTATAGCGCACCTTGTCGGAAGTATGGAGTTACTGGTGGATCGAAGAGCGCTTTATTACAGAACACGACGCAAAATTAACGGGATGTCGACGCATTGCGTTGTTTTACCGTGAAATTTGATGCGGATTCCGTTTCGACGAAAAACATCGACGAAGTAAGAAAAGAGAGAAAGACACAGAGAGAGAGAGAGAGAGAGAGAGAGAGAGAGAGAGAGAGAGAGAGAAGGAGGGAGAGAGAAAGAAATGAAACGAGAAAGTTTGTTCGAGTGGTTTCGAAGTTCTTAAATATCAACATTTGAAAGCTTGGTGTAACTCGATATTTCGAATTTCCGTTAAAAAAGAAAAGCATCTCAAGTCGAGAGAAGTCGGGAGAAGAAATCTTTCTTGAGTGGAACAACTTCGTTCGTTGTACAATTATCGAGGTAATTATTATAGACGCATGAAATTCTGACGGCGCCGGCGGCAAGTACGGTGCATATTCTGCGATGTCGTCGGACGATCAGAATTAACGATCAGCGCGATCGGTAAAATCCCACGCGGCTCTTTGCGCCGCCATCGAGAGAATCCCCGCGAAGATAGCGTGCGGAGAGGCGAATTTCGTTCACCGCGATGCGACGCGACGAAGAGAGCCCCGCCTGGAGACTTTCAGGACGGCACACTTTACTTCACGCGCGCAACACGCGCGTCGCTTTAAAAGATTCAGACGCAGTGAATATACATGCTTTTAAA